TTGGTTAAGCGACTGCCTTCGGCTCAGGTCATGATCCTGGAGTCCCTGGATCGAGTCCCGCATCGGGCTCCCTGCTCGGCAGGGAGTCTGCTTTGCCCTCTGACCCTCTCCCCTCTCATGTGTTCTCTCTTTCTCATTCTCTCTCTCTCAGATAAATAAATAAAATCTTTAAAAAAAAAAAAGAACTATATAGCACACATAGAATACAAAAAGGTAAATATGTAACTACCAGGGCAGCGTTTTTATCTGTTCTCATGGATTTATTCCCAGTGTGTAGAACAGAACCCAGCACATAATAGTAAGTAACTGGTCAGTAAATATTTGTTGAATAAACGAATGATGTGTATAGAAAACACTCTAACTTCAGACTTTATTAGGTTTTAAGGCAAAAATTAAGTTCAAAACATTTCTTCATCTCTAATTCAATTTAAAATTTACCACATAAAGCAAAAATCAAATTACTATATTCTCACATTATAGTTTTGTAAAGGAAGTCTGATGTATAAATATGTATTTTTTTTCTCTTTTAGTAAACGAAGCAAAAAAGGAGATAAAAATGGAAAAGGCTTGAGACATTTTTCCATGAAAGTGTGTGAGAAAGTTCAGCGGAAAGGTACAACATCATATAATGAAGTGGCTGATGAGCTGGTATCAGAGTTCACCAATTCAAATAACCATTTGGCCGCTGATTCGGTAGGTAGATAGATCATGCACTTGACTTTGACTGTAATGGCGGAACACTGTATCTCTGGGTTGACTGTGTCATTTTTTAAGGACTCAGACAAGCTAAGGAATCCCCAACTCCTTTACCTGAGGATTTCATATTTTCTATTGGGGAATTCTTTTGTTATTGAGTTTTTGTTCTGTTTTAGAAAGGGTTCTTTTATTATATATTTAAACATAAAGATTAACATGTATTTTTAAAATATAATTTTGGGGGCTACAAAAAGAGCATACTATTTTTTTTTAAGATTTTATTTATTTGAGAGAGAGCGCACAAGCTGTGGAGGGGGGAGGGCAGAGGGAGAGGGAGAAGCAGGCTCCCTGCTGAGCAGAGAGCCTACTCTGGGCTCATCCCAGGATCCTGAGATTATGACCTGAGCCAAAGACAGACGCTTAACCGACTGAGCCACCTGGGTGCCCAGGAACATACTTTTCATATTTGAATGACTTTGGATATGTTTCTGAATTCTTTAGCGTTTCTTCTATAAAAATCTATGTTGTTTTTAGTTGAAAAAATAATATATGAACATGTCTATAAAAATTCAGTTGTACCAAAGAGTATATGATAAAAATATCTCCCTTTTAAAGAATTTATTTATTTATTTATTATTTGAGAGAGAGAGTGAGCCAGCATAAGCAGGAGGAGCTACAGAGTGAGAGGGAGAGGCAGGCTCCCCGCTGAGCAGGATCATGACCTGAGCCACCCAGGTGCCCCAGAATATCTCCCTTTTACCACAGACCTTAATCTGTCTCCCCAAAGGTATATTTACTACTATGAGATTCTTGAGTATCATCCCAAAAATTCCTCATGCACACAATAAAATTTATTTCCTTTTTTATTTTATTTTTTAAAGATTTTATTTATTTTAGAGAGAGATAAAGAACAATTCTGTCACTTTCAAAAGGTTCTTTCTGCCTTTTATAATCTGTCCCTCCTTCTCCCTCTATCCCTAGGCAACTGCTGATCTGCTCTTTATCATTATAGATCGGTTTGCATTTTATTTAAATGTAATCGTATTATACATACTCCACAACAATTCTTACAACAGTTCCTGACTTATTTATAATCTTGAAATATTTATAGTCTTTAACCTTAGTTATGACAAAGGTTTTATCTTGAGATGATAGCAACCATAACTTGATTTTTTTTTTTTTAAAGATTTTATTTATTTATTTGACAGAGAGAGAGACAGTGAGAGAGGGAACACAAGCAGGGGGAGTGGGAGAGGGAGAAGCAGGCTTCCTGCTGAGCAGGGAGCCCGATGCGGGGCTCAGTCCCAGCACCATGGGATCATGACCTGAACCAAAGGCAGACGCTTAACGACTGAGCCACCCAGGCGCCCCTAAATGACAGATCTTGAAAGAAATAGTTCTTTTTCTACTGCCTGATGTAGGTCAAAATACTAATTAATTTTTGTATCCCTGATCAAATGAAACCTGTTTCTGCCGGCAGGGTCTAATTCCAGTCATTAAGTTAGTTGCTAATTTGCTCCATAAAGAACAATGAGAAGGATTCACTTGCATTTCAAGCTTAGTTCAGCCTTTGTTATTAAAGCCTCGTCAACATTTATTCATTTACTAAATATTTAAGAATGTTAGTTACCTCTGTTTGTGTATGGCATTTTGCCAGTTTGGAGCCAGGGAGATGTTATTATATACAAATGCCTAGGAAATAATTTTAATAAGTTAATTCTGCAGTTAAAAAAATAAAAACAGAAGACAATAAACACTGATAGATGTCTGGAGAATTCTGATTCTCTACAATATTCCAGGGACTATTTTTTTTTAAGATTTTATTTATTTATTTAATTGACAGAAAGACACAGCAAGAGAGGTAACACAAGCAGGGGGAGTGGGAGAGGGAGAAGCAGGCTTCCCGCCAAGCAGGGAGCCCAATGTGGGGCTCGATCCCAGCACCCTGGGATCATGACCTGAGCCGAAGGCAGATACTTAATGACTGAGCCACCCAGGCGCCCCAACTTGATTTTTTTTTTTAATGAATGTTTCTTTTTTCTTAACTAAAAAAAAAAACCCAGAAATGGATATTTAATCAAATCCTGTATAGTTTCCTGAAAACTTAGGAGTTTTACACTGACATTCATAAGTGAGATTGGTGGGATTTTTTTTTTTGTTTTTACCATCTTTGCAGTTTTGATTTGCAGTGTTATGCTAGTTTTTTAAAATTTAGAGGCTTTTTTTTCCTTCTTCCTCTTTACTCCATTACAGGTTTAATAGCATTGGATGCGTATTTCTCTTCCCTGACATAGAAATCACCTGTGATACCATCTTGGCTGGCGATTTGGTGGGGGGGGTAAAGCTTAGATAGCATTCTCCATTTTTTTTTTGGTAATTAATCTATTTAGAATTTCTCTCTCCCTTAGAGTCAGTTTGGTATTTTATGTTTTCTTAGAAAATCCTCCATTTCATACCTGTTCTCAAAATTACTTGCAATTATTTTTCCCAAAGAACCATCTCTTGAATCTGAACCGACCCTCCTGTTTTGCAGTTAATGTCTTTTTTAATCTTCATTTAATATTCTCTTCTCTTTCCTGAAGTTACTTTTGTTATTTTTCTACCCTATAGATAGGATATAAACTTTACTTTTGTTATTTTTGTTTAGTAATGAAAATCTTTATAGCTGTGACTTTTTCTCTTGTTCACTGCTTTAGCCATTTCCCATTGATTCTGATATAATGTTATTCTTTAAATATTATGCAGCTTTTGTTTTAAATTCCTCTCTGACCTAAGAATGGCATTAGAGTTTTTATAGTTCCAGGTGATAGGGATTTTTGTTTGTTTTTCTGAGTTTTTAATTTTTACTGAGTTTTTCATTACCTGTGATCAGAGATTGTGAGTTGAACTATTTATATTTTGGGGGGGTTACTTAGAGATTTTTCTTGTGAGCCATTATTTGGTAATGTATTTTTTTCTTTTCTCTGGCATCTGTAGAGAAGGTATATAGCATTCTGATTCTGAGTGAAAGTGGACATTCTCAAAATGTTCTACAAGACCCTACATGACCTGACCCGCCATTACCTCTCTGATCTCATCTCCTACTATGCACTCTCCCAGTTACTACACTCTAGTCACCTTATGATAAAGGTTTTATTTTGAAATGATAGCAACCATAACTTGATCTTTTTAAATGAACATATCTTTCATTTTTCTTAATTAAAAAAAATCAGAAATGGATATTGAATTCAATCAAATTCTGTATAGTTTTCCTGAAAATTTAGGAGTTGTACACTGGCGGTCATGAATGAGACTGGTGGGCTTTTTGTTCGTTTTTTGTTTTGGGGTGAATATGCCAGGTATGTTCCTTATCAGGCTGTTACACTTGCTATTTCCTTTGTCTGAATCTTTGCTAAGGAGCCATATGGTTTCGCTCTCCTTTCCCCTCCAGTTTTCACTCAGATGTCACTGCACTGAGGCATTTCTTCTTAGCACATTTCATCATCTAACATACATTTTTACTAACCACCCCCATCCCCATGCCTGGATACAAGTAAGGGTTGTATCCTATTCCCTGGGTTCCTATTCCTTGCTATATGTGGTGTTTTTTGTTTTTTATTTTTATAAATTGGAAGGTTTATAGTCTTTAGTTCTTTAATTGGTTATCTTTATAACTTTAAGTAGCTTCAATATTTTGTTTCTTTTGTTTGTTATCACCTATAAACCAGTATCTGTTGATTATGAAGGGAAAAAAATTAATATGCTTGTATTTACTTGCATCTCCCATCTTTCCTGTTCACCACAGATTCAGATTGAATATATTAGTGGTAGTTGTTAAAAGAATAATATTATTATAGTTATTATGACTTTAAACATATTGTGCTAAAACATTACATACTTCATCTGTTTGAATAGTTCATCTGATTTGAATCCCATGCCCCTTTAAATATCAAGGACAACATCAGACCTACTTTGTCTCTTGATATTTTTTATAATATTATCATTATTTCTATAGCGTCAGGATTTCTAATATTTACATTCATTTCTATAACTTAAATCTCCCACTTATTTAAGTCTAGTTCTGTATTCAGTGTTCTCCACCATCCTTTAGTATCATGGCATTTGATTGAATGGATTTTTTTCTTAGGAACTGCTTCACAACAAAATAGGGTTTTTTTCCACAATCTAAGTTAACACAGTCTCCTTCATTGAGAAAAATCTTGCTACAAAGACTTTTTTAAAAAAAATCAGCTGAAGTAAACAGTGTGCTTTAGTGATCTATGTGATGACATTTTGGTGCAAGTTCCCTATTTTCATTGTAGACTAGTAACAGTTTTCGGATCTGCACTAGTCCTTGGATCACATACTTGAAAAGCACTGTTTTAAAATATGCATCCTTAAAGAGGGCACGTTCTGCATGGAGCACTGGGTGTTATGCACAAACAATGAGTCGTGGAACACTACATCAAAAACTAATGATGTAATGTATGGTGATTAACATAACAATAAAAAATTAAAAAAAAAACATGCATCCTTAAAAAAAAATAAATAAAAATAAATAAATAAAAACATGCATCCTTGACTTTTCAAAGTCTAATATCCTCCCAGACAATGCAGGGTTTTAACCCACTTTAATTAACAACTCCATAAGCCCTTTCTGATATATATATACTGTTGTCATATATGTTAGTTTTGTATATATTCTTGATTCCACAAGACATTATTGTTTTACAAAGTGAGTGTTAATTGAGATATACCCACATATTTATTTTCATGTTGGTTTTCACTACATTCTACATCTCCAAACTTCCACCTTGGATCCCATCCATCTTTCTTCTACCTGAAGAAGGCCCTTTAGTATTTTTTAATTTAGATCTGTTGCTAAAATAATCTTTTACTTTTTAGATTGTTTGAAAGTATCTTTATCTCTACTTTTGGAGGATATTTTCACTGGGTATATAGAATTCTATAAGTACTCCAAAGATATTATAATAATAATATTAATTAAATATCTTAATATCCTGTGACTATATCTTAACCCTTGAAATTTATCACTCATTAAAAGTATTTTTTAGCAGGCTTATGACCAGAAGAATATTAGGAGAAGAGTTTATGATGCTTTAAATGTGCTAATGGCAATGAACATAATTTCAAAGGAAAAAAAAGAAATCAAGTGGATTGGCCTGCCTACCAATTCTGCTCAGGAATGTCAAAATCTTGAGGTAAGTGAGGAAAATCTGTTTTTAGATAGTAGTTTGCTTTATTTTATATAAGAGGCATTTTATTTTATTTTACTTTTAAAGATCTTATTTATTTATTAGAAAGAGAGCACAAGCAGGAGGAGTGGCAGAGAGAGAGGGAGAAGCAGGCTTCCCGCTGAGCAGAGAGCCTGACACGGGGCTTGATCCCAGGACCCTGGGATCATGACCTGAGCCAAAGGCAGACGCTTAACCAACTGAGCCACCCAGGCACCCCCATAAGAGGCATTTTAATTTGGAAATACATACAATATGAAAATATTTCTAATTGTTCATATATACTATTTTTTTAACAGACTCTTCTGTGTAGAATTTTAGAACTAGAAGGAGATTTAGAGAGGTGTATAGTTTGACTGATGTCCTGATGAAACTGAGGACATAGAAATTAAATGACTTGATTTTTACTGTTTCTTAGAGAAGATCTTTATTTTATTCTAGTTTAATTCTGAGCACTCTACTAATAAATTTTTGACAACTCATAAATAGAAATAATATCTTATTTGATGAAATGCTTTGCTGTATGGATCCAAAAAAAAAAAAAAGGATCAAACTGGCTGTTTACCTTTTGTGTTTAAACTTTTATCTTTGATTCTCACATCAGTGGCAACAGAATGGAATTTTATCTGTATCTTTATCAGAAAGGATAGAGTGTTCAGCTTACATGAATTTTGGGGTGATGTGTGTAAAAACATTTTTTATTCCATTAACTTTTAATCATTATAGAAAATCTTTCCTGGGGTGCCTGGGTGGCTCAGTCATTAAGCGTCTGCCTTCGGCTCAGGTCATGATCCCAAGGTGCTGGGATCAAGCCCCGCATCAGGCTCCCTGCTCAGCAGGAAGCCTGCTTCTCCCTCTCCCACTCGCCCTGCTTGTGTTCCCTCTCTCGCTGTGTCTCTCTCTGTCAAATAAATAAAGTCTTTTAAAAAAAAAAAAAAAGAAAATCTTTCCTATATGAGCATGTGCCCTGACCTATTGGTTTTAAATTGATCTGACCTAATTGTACTGTCATGGCCATAAATGGAATAAATTGAGGTTAAATATAGTAATATAGTTTCTGCAATAAATATGGTTGATTTCATGTTTTTATTAGTCCTTTTTCCCCTCAGCAAATGAAAACTTATTTGGTATTATTGTCCTTGTGGGTGGAGGGAGAAATTAGACATTCATCAAAAGTTGTAGAATATTATTCATATGTTACGGTGGAAGTGACCTCCTTTTCTCCTTCTGATAGAGTGGAATTTGAGGATCTTTTTTTTTTTTTAAGTGTTTTCTCTAATTTTTTTTAAAGATTTTATTTATTTGTCAGAGAAAGCGGCAGGCAGAGGGAGAAGCAGGCTCCCCCCTGAGCAAGGAGCCCAATTTGGGACTCGATCCCAGGACCCTGAGATCATGACCTAAGCTGAAGACAGACACTTAATTGACTGAGCCACTCAGGAGTCCCAAGGATCATTTTTATTACCAGTAATATTAAGCTGATAACAGAGCCTCAATAAGCAGAAATCTATTAGAAGTTACTGTGTGTGTACCCAAAGATTATACAAGACAAAATCTCTGACCCCAGGAGCTTTCATTCTAATTGAATAAAGGAAAAATGTAAAAGAAGTTACCAAAACTGTGACCGATTATTCCTGTGAAAGACGTATATACAGATTCTCTGGAAAGGGAGATGAGGGATACTTTACCAAGAAAAGAAAAAATTCCTTGAGCTCAGTGATAAGGGAGGTATAGGCGTCTGCCCAGTGGTTCAGGACAGAGAGGGCCTTCCAGAAGCCGTGCATGGACTGAGGCAGGCATAAGAAAGCATGCACACAGCTGGGTGTGACCAGAGTGCAGGCAGGGCTAAAGGGGATAGACTTCTAAGTGTGAAGCTTTGGGGACCTGATCCTGGAAACAGTGGGAAGCTTTTGAAAAATTACAAAGAGGACAACTGATAGGACATATTCTATAAGGGGTCACCCTCCTGGTGGGTTGGAAGTTGAGCTAATAGGAAGGTGAGGAGGGAAATTGGAGGGGGTGGATTGTAGATGGTCTGAGTTAAATCAGTGGCGTGAGGTTGGAAAAGTGTTTCAGAGGTAGAATCGACACAACTTGGCCTGGTGTTAGATGGGGGGCACGAGGGGCAGGTAGGGGCCTGGCCTGTCACAGCTGCAGATACAGGGGGGAAACTCTTTTCAAATGTAGAAAGCCACATAGATTTTTCTAGTGAATCTTAAGTAATTTAGACGAGATCGGGCGCGTTCAGGGTGGTATGGCCGTAGACTTAAGTAATTTAGGATGAAAATGCTTTAGTGGTTAGAGGAAGAATAAGAGGAAACTCTTGGTGCAGACTAGAATAGATGAGGAGCAAATAAGAAATGCTTTTGGAGTAGACAAGAAAAATGTCATGTTTGAAGTCGTTGACTTTTGCCCAAAGACACAGTGAGGAACTCATCTACAAGGAAATTCAGGCCCTAATACCTATTTTCTAGGTAGTTGTAAGAGTGAGGAAAATAATAGTTGCATGAAGCTGGGAAATTTGTCCCACAAGCATGTTCCTTACTACAAGTAGGAATTGTGTATTGAATATGTAGGCTATCTGTATTAGGAGCTATGCCCATTTAAAAGTCAATTAAACTAAAATCTTAAATGAGATCTTACCTCATTCTTTGGGTTAGGGGGTAACATAAGAAAGTATTTAATAGTAGGGTCTCTGGAACCAGATGGCTTAGGTTCAAATCCTTACTGTTGCCATTCACTAGCTATGTGACCTTGGGCAATTACTTAACCCTCTATGCCTCCATTTCCTTACATGCAAAATGGGTAACAACAGTACTAACCTCATGATGCCTTAAGATAATGTGTGTAGGAAAAAAAAAAAAAGATAATGTGTGTAAAGTGCTTAGTTGAGTTGCTGGCAGACAGAGTAAGTATTCACGAAGTGTTAGCTATTACTCTAAATAGAATTTGAAAATAGCAACAAGTACTGCATATCAAATATTTATTAAGTGGATGGGTTTCATTAATGATAGTAGTTGCCACAATTCTGCTATCGTGCCTACTTGCTTACCCCAACCCCTGCTCCCCAAAAAGGTGTGATATGCATTTATTGATATTGGTAGTTAAAATGGATTTTTTTTTTTTTTTAGATTTTATCCATTTATTTGACAGAGGAGAGGGAGAAGCAGGCTCCCCTCTGAGCTGGGAGCCCAACATGGGGCTTGATCCCAGGACCCTGGGATCATTAACTGAGCTGAAGGCAGACACTTAACCATCTGAGCCACCCAGGTGCCCCTAAAATGGATTGAGTTTTAAGGAAAATTTTTTTTTTTTTTTAAGATTTATTTATTTATTTTAGAGAACACAGAGCACGAGCAGGGGGAGGGACAGCAGGAGCTGGAGAGAGAGAGAATTCCAAGCAGACTCTGCACTGAGCTCAGAGCCCAATGTAGGTCTCCATCCCAGGACCCTGAGATCATGACCTGAGCCAAAACCAAGAGTTGGACCTTAACCAACTGAGCCACCCAGGTGCCCCTAAGGAAAATTCTTGATATCTCAGAATTGGGACCTGGAAAGTGAGCAGTACTTTATACTTTCCATATGTTCATGTTATTTTGTAACCTATCTTTTAAAGATAGAGAAGCAGAGGAGGATAGAACGGATAAAGCAGAAGCGGGCCCAGCTCCAGGAACTTCTCCTGCAGGTAAAGTTGCTGGGATGGTTTTCATTCTTTTCCTTACCTATATTCTGCTGCCCTGCTTACTTGCTTTTAGAATCAGTGTTTTCTACTTTGGCTATCTTTTGAGTAGTGTCGGATGGGACCACAGTAGGGCGGCCTCCTCCACATCTGAGCTCATCACCATCTACATGGTCTGCCTTTAAGATGGTTCTGTCTCTCACCATCATCATGGCCTCATGGCAGGTCACCTGTCCTGTGCATTACTTATATTATGCAGCGACTTACTTCTGACACTTATTCTTATTCTGAACGGAAACTGTCAGAAGTCCTTTTGTGTGTGTTTATTTTAGCCCTAGTTTGGAATATCAGGAAGTAAGACTCGTTAAACTTCAGGCACTTTGAGTAAAATAATCAAATCCACCTGTAATAATTTATTATCTGTAAATAACAGAATAACATATAATGATTCAATAAGCTTTGTAGAAATACCAAAAATTAAAATGCTTTTCTTTTTAAGAAAATTAGCTTTTATAGTGTAATAAGGATCCCTGTATTTATACTGTTTTGGATCATTGCCTGGAATTTGGATGGTTTTCTTAAATATAATAGAGCCAGTGTATAAAATCATGTGAGGTAAAATCACATAGACTTTTTTATTTTATTTTATTTTTGGTAATTGCAGTTGCTGTAAAAATTCACTTTGAGCAGTACACTGGGGTCATTTTCAGTGTAATCAGAAACCCTTTTTAAAATGAACCCAAGAGGGTCTTTATGCTTTTTTTTTTTAAATCAGCAAATTGTCTTTATATGAAAAGCTTTCAACCACTTATAAAATCCACTTTGATTTGACAACCGTTAGATCCTATTTAATGTTTGATGTAATCCACTTTTCAGAAATAAAGGTAACAATTAAGTTGCCAAATATTGGAGCAGGGTTTCTCCGAAACGCTCCCTTTGTCTAATGGACAGAATATGTCAGGTATTCTTAAATATCCCACATTTTTGTTTTTTCACTTTCTAGATGCTTATATTTGCTTGTTTATTCCAAGTTCATGTATACATCAGAGCAGCAAGAGAAGGCCGTTTAGCCCTTGCAGAGACCTGCGTATGATATGAGGAAGTAGGAAAGGAGGCGGAGCAAGGGTGGAGGAGTAGAAACAGCTAGAGCAGACACTGCCCAAACATAGGCAGGCTCCAAAGGTGTGTTCCACCCGGATAGGCCGTTTCTTTCTCCCTTACTATGTTGTGTGTGCTTTTGACTCCGAACCCTGGGGGACCTACCTGAGGAGCTAGAGCTGGAGCAAGCATTTTATGTATTTTTTGTACTGGGTTTCCAAATAAGGTTTTGTTTGAAGAGAGGGTTCTGCTGCTTACAAAACAAAACAGAACAAAAATCCTGAAAGCTGACCGTGTGTCCTGTGCTCCTCCCTGTGGAATTCTGCCTTCTGTGACCTGGCCTACCAGGCATGGGCTTCTAATCCATGCTGTCACTGCCTTCCCCCAGCTGCTTCTGCTGTCCCTGTCCCCACACGGTTTCCTACCAGCTCACACTCCCTCGCGTCTGAGCCAGGCCTTCCTCAGATTTCCTCAAAATCCTCGTGGAACATTTTGGAGCTTGATTTTTGGCATAATGTTATTGAGAAGACCTGTTTATCAGAAAGAATGGTGCTGGGCATGATCACTCTCATGGAGGTGGGACGTTCACATCCCTAGACAGCCTTCATAAAGAATGAAGTTGAATATTTTTTCCTCTGCTTATCTTTGTACAATGAACACTATTTTTTTAAGTCCTAAATTTCTTTTCCTCTTCTGTCTCTCAAACCAAACATTTACAGATTTCAACCCAAGGGCAACCTAGCTGTCAACATTTATAAAAGTAGGTCTCTCTCAATATTAAAATGAAACCCGAAGTATAACTGAAAACTGCTGCTCTCTGGTCTTCTGGTAGACATACATACAGCTTATTTCCTGCTAGTGTTTTATCTCTCATCCATCAAATAACATTTATGAAGTTGTCACAGAAAGTAAATTAAACATGTCCCTGAACACCAATAATTTACCATGGCAAAGCTAGCTTAATTTTTAACAAGTTAAGGTCACCACTCACTGACATCACATGACACAGGACAGTTTTACTTACCTGCCACCACTTCTCATTTATCCTTGGTAGTGTAGACGAAGAAGGGTGTGAATAGATGATATCTATAGGTAATCCACATACCCTACTTTTAGCTATATAACTGTCCCTACTAGCCCTTAAACCTTTTCCAGGGCTGCTAACACATAGCAAAATGAATGTGTGAGCCTGCCCTCTGTTCAGCCTCTGATATTGATGTTAATGAGCCTGGAAAAGAACAAAAGGCTGAAGGAACTCAATCAAAGGGCAACAGAGGAAATCCGTCCAAAACAAATAGGTGGTGATTTTTCTTTTTACTGTCTAAATAACATTATATATGTTATTACTGCTTTCTTCACCTGAAAAATCTGTGATGCTATTAAATGTACACAATATTGAATAGTGAGTCATACATATATAAGGACTCTTATTTATTACTGTTGATATTCCCTCCTCTGCTGAGGCCCAGCCATGGCACTAGGACTGCAAAGCTAGGGCAAAGTATGAGAGCATCTCCTGAGATGCTTTTTCTAGTAGAAGGGAAGAGAATCTAGGCAGAAGTCTTCAAACGTTTAATTCTTTTCCTCAGTTTTACAGTATCAATAGCGTATTTTTTTCAACATTAAGTAAATTAAGCAACGAATATAAAACAGCCAACATCCTTTAGCAGCAGCAAATAATGAAGTATAACTTAAGTAATGTTTGATAGTATTGATAGTGATAGTTTTTTGATAGTGGTGGATATTGATAGTGATTTTTGGACACACAGTTAGGGCTAGCATAAATTGGTATCCCTTCTGTTCTGTGCATTTTAGGAGTAAATGTTCACTTTCTAGGGATGGTACCCAGTCATTTTAAGATAAAGATAATCTCAGTTAAACTTTTGTTAAGGCTCAGAACCTAAAATAAATAATCCTAGGATAAGATTGCTAAAACATAGAAAGTAACTGAAATTCATCACTACTGGGTGAGAAGATGGGACACGCCGATGAAAGGGAATGAGTGGATCTGACTTTAGGAGCCTTTAAAACCACTCTTGTTTCATGAGCAGATGAAAAAGTTGAATTGCATAGTCTTTCTAGCTGTGGAATTCTTTGATACATATACCTTATTAAAAGGGGGGGGTGGGCAGTCACTTCTTGGACTTGCAAATAATGGTTATAACTAAAAGTAGCAGCAAGATCCAGTAGACCTTCATCTAGCTTATAAGTGCTAAGCCTCAGTTTCTTGTCTGGAAGATGTTGGGTGGGGGGTGAGTCGGGCCAGATTCCAGCTGTGCCCTGAGGATGTGGGAATTCTGTGGAGGTACCCTAGGAACCTCAGGGGTGAGGGAGGGCAGAGCCACTGGGCTCTGGACTTCCTGCCCCCCTGCAGTCAGCCAGAGCAATGCTACTTTCATCTGTTTTATATAGTGTCCTATAGATTTCATTTGAAGAAAGGATTCTGTAGCTTTATAAAGTTTGCATATCCCTGAGCTCGACAATCTAAAAGGTGTATTTAACCCCAGACTCCCGAGAGTCTGTGTTAGATAAATGGAAAATATAAGTTCACTTGGTATCACTTTCTCCGTGTCACTCTAAGAAGAGTTGCAGGCGCTCCTGGGCTCTTGCAGATTTGTAAGATCCTGTGTCTATGGATGACGGAAGCCATAGGCCCCATTATTTACATTAGGATGATGTTAAACAACATGTTTTCCCTTGAAATGTATCTGAGTTAGATCATTCTAATCTTTTTTCCTAAATGTTTCATTTTAATTATAGGTAGACGGCCTCTTTAATATCTCTAATTTCTAATAACTGTTAATACTATTTAATAGTATTTAAACTCTCTAATTTCTAATACTCTAATACTATTTCTTAAATGTATTTATTTTAATTCATTTAATTCCAACTCACTTATCCATATTAAATGACCATATTCTTTTTCTTGATCATTACAGCAAATCGCTTTCAAAAACCTGGTTCAGAGAAATCGGCAAAATGAACAGCAGAACCAGGGCCCTCCAGCTCTGAACTCCACCATTCAGCTGCCATTTATAATCATCAATACAAGCAGGAAAACAGTCATAGATTGCAGCATTTCCAGTGACAAGTGAGTGGAGAACTAGGGGAGGACTGCAGGGCCGGCCTCCCAGGAACACATTCCTATCATTTGCAGCATGAAGAAGGGTGTCCTTCATTATCTGAGCCCTTCCGTCTGACCTCCCTGGGGTCTGGAAGACACCTTTGCAGACCTGGAGTGCTGCCATCTACTAGTGCATTCTTCATCACTCGCCCTCTCAGCCCCTTGTCTTGTGCCTGGCACTATACTGCCTGTCCTGCATGCACAGTGGAGCCTGGAGCCCAGCCAGGGTGTGCGTGCGCGTGTGTGTGTGTGTGTGTGTGTGTACACATATGTGGTAACCCTGGGCAAGTAACTGCCTTAAAGTAGACCATCAGTGAGGGCCTGGGACAAGATGGGTTTGCTGGTGATCCCCTTCCATAGTTTAGTGTGGAAATTTTTGGGTCAACATGTGGCATTAAGGCAATTGTTTCTTTGTTTTGCTATAAGTAAGGTGTGCTTCTATTTATTAATGAATGGACGTGAAAATGCTAGATGCATTCTCTGCTTTCTTATTTTCTTATTTATGTTATAGCTAGAAGTTTATACCTTTTGATCACCTTCACCCATTTTATCCACCTCCCACCTACACCCCTGGCAACCAGCAGTCTGTTCTCTGCATCTATGAGTTCATTTTTTTTTTAGATTCCACATATAAGTGAAATCATACAGTATTTGTCTTTCTCTGTCTGATTTATTTCAATTAGTGTAATGCCCTCAAGGTCCACCCACGTTGTTGCAAATGTCAGAATTTACTTTTTTTATGGCCAGATATTCCATTTATACACACACACACACATACCACATTTTCTTTATCTGTTCATATGTCAGTGGACAGTCAGGTTGTTTTTGTATCTGTTGTAAATAATGCTACAGTGAACATCGGGGTGCAGATATCTTTGTGAAATAGTGATTCTGTTTCCTTCAGATATATACCCACAAGCGAGATTGCTGGGTCTTATGGTAGTTTTATTTTTAAATTTTTGAGGAACTTCCATACTGTTTTCCATGGTGGCTATAACAATTTACATTCCCACCAACATTTTTTTTACATTTTAACTAAAGTTGATGATGATATTTATCATAGCAAATGAAAAGTAGCAGTTTTAAAAATACTGCTAAGAATTAATTTGTAATTTATTTTACCCTTCATGAAAATAGTAGTGGTCTTCAGGCTGTGACCAGTGTCCTGAGATAGTTAAGGGAATAGGGTGTGGAGTGAGACAGACCCAAGTGTGGATTGTGGCTCCCCCATTTAGCTGCTTCGAAGCAGTTTTCTGAAGAACAAAAGATGATTCCAAGGCCTTAAATACCATCATGTCTTTAAAGGATCTGACCCAAGGCAAGCACTTTATAAATATTAGCTGCTGTTACAAGGAGTCAGCATATAATCTATTCACCAAGTTGGGATTCATTTGAAAGCGAGAGAGGGCTCAGTAATGATATCAGTCCCACAGGCATAGTCCAAGACTATCCAGAGAGACTGGGACTTCTCGTCTCCTTAGAGCTACAGCATTGCCCTTGGGCTTGGCCTTCCCTTGTCTCTCCCACCGTTTTCTCAGGCTGTGTTGCTTCCCCTGTTTATCTTGATTGCATACAGAGATTATAGGTCACTTAAGTAAGGTGCCAAAAGAAAAAGAAAAACAGCGAGCAGGGATTTCAAAAGTATTTGATAATTGAGACTATAGACACAATTAAGAATAGTATGAAGTCAGGGCGCCTGGGTGGTTCAGTTGGTTAAGCGACTGCCTTTGGCTCAG